AACTTGTATCCCTGTTATATTGTTTCATGCTGAGATGGTCTTAAATTAGAACTTCACAATTGGTCCAGATCAAAATGGAAAGAATGTCATTTTAGGAAACAAAAACTGTAGTCATGTCAACCACCTCCAAATTCCCACTGATGGAAGATATCACTTTTGATGCTTGGCTTTCAGTGTCTAGGAAGCAGGGCAATCCATTGCCCAAGGATGGTTGTTTCGGCTCTTTGTAAATCGATTTGCCAATACGGGAATGGATGTTATTTGGTTGAGAAATGCCCTGTGAATGCCCAAACTTTTATCTCCAAGTAGACTTTCTTCTGAAGTTCTCAGATCCATTCCTCTCATAATTGTAGATCTCACTGACTCAACAGCATTTCAGAGCTAGAAAGGACCTACCTGATCCCTTCCTTCAATCATGCAGGACTTGGAGATCTAATGGACACCCCTCCAAAGACAGAGGATGGCAGCTCAGCCCTAACCTCTGGGGTGCCTCCTATCTGAGCATCAGTCCCAGGCAGGCTGATTTTCACAACCTTTTGTTTGTGGTCCCGGAGGCCCTTTTTCCATGAAATTGCTTCAGGATCTTTTGTCCCTTTGATATTATTTTTCCATGACAGACTTATTTTTGTTTTTACAGAGAAATATGTACTGCCACCCATGGCAAAGGCACACATTTATTCAAGGGCTTGCGTTGCTAGAACCACAGGCAGCCGTGTCTTGGACACGGCCCCCTCTGCATGTCCCTAGGCCAAGTGTTACTGGCAACATGGTGGATTCTTACACTGCTCGGAGAGGGTACTTGGGTTTTGGGTGAAAAGCAGTGTGTAAATGCAAGATGGGCGGGATCAAATTCATTGACCTCCAGGGCTCTCTGCCTGCCAGCAAACAGGTACGACAAGTGACAACATGTGGAAACTGGCAGCTCTGATGGCCCCTCGTGTTCGCCCAGGCTCTGGGACAACCACAGGCCTTTGGCATTTTAGAATGTCTTTATTTTGAAACTCCTTCAGCCTATTCAGTTCTGAGGTGCTGCGGGCATCCTCTGGGAAAGACCCAGAAGAGTGGCAGAGATGGTGGTACAGGGACTCTTAGAACATTCCTGAAGCCTAGGGTGCAGGCCCTGGTACCTGAGAGCCTGGTTGCAGAGCCAGGCATAGAACCAACTGCAGGGACTCCGAGCTTGAACTCATCCCCTCCTGATGGGATAGTCTCTACAGAGGTGTTTGCAGGAATTGATGGAGGATTTGTTGCAACATCCTCCGTGAAAAGAGATGCACTTAAATCATAAAGCCTTTGCAATTTGGACACTCCCTCTGGCTCACCTCTGAGATGTTCTGGCTGCCCATTGGCACTGCTACAGGGTCACCTGGACAGGTGATTTCTTCTGCCCAAGGCCTGTTGTGTTTTGGATGCTCTTCTGTCAAAGAAACCTCTATTCTTCATGAAGCATTTGACATTTGAGGATTGAATCACAGGGCTGACTGTACACTGAGAAATCATCTGGGCGAATTCTCCCTTGCTCTACACTCCCCATTCTTTTTTGGCAAAAGGGAACCCCAAGGGAAATTACCTATCTGGAGGTATCAACAACTGCCAGCCACCACTCTCTTGTACCAGTCTTTGGTTTTCTGATGGGATTATAAAAGCCCCCTTCACTGAGGTGCTGGTTTAGCCACCACCATTGTGCCCCGCCCCCCATGATGGAACTGCGTCCCACGCGGGGCTGGATGCTCCTGGCAAACAGGCTCCTCTGTTGTTGATCCCTGACCCTCTGTCCTCACTTCTCCAGCTGTGTGCTCACCAAGGGGATGCTGGGTTTGGATCTGTTTATGCCATTTGTACTCACCATTGAAATGATGTGATTTATTTGAGTGTTACATAAACCAATGAGATACACTGGAGGCAAGACAGAATTATTTCTGTGGGTTAGATGTTTTGGACAGAGGAGCTTGCTACAAAGTACGGAGTGTGACAAAGGGAGGGGCACATCGGTGTCCAGAAGGACCCTGAAATCAGGTTCTGTAACAAGACGGTGTTCTACCTCAGGAAAATGGGTGTGGTTCGTGGCAGATACCTTGGAAGTCCAGTGGGGGTGACCACGGGCACAGAAGACATCTGGGCCTCGCCTCAAAAGATTGGCATAACTTAAAATCATGTACATTTTAAGACAATTACATGATTCAAATTCAAATAACATGTTTACGTTTAGGATTTCTCTTTTGACTGGTGTTCCAATTAGTGAACCAGAAGTGAGCTTTCTTTCCTCTTATCTGTAGTGCTCAGAAAACTCTCGCTAATGTCAATAACCAATGTCAAGAGTAACTGTTAAATTTTAACAGTTATAATTTTAAATTATATCCTATATAAATTGATAGGAAAACTGGGAAACAGAATTTGACGAATATATATGTTCAACTTGGTAGTAATAGACCTCTATTTGAATTCATAGCAGGAAGACTGCTTTTTGGGGCAGTGGGAGTCTGGCTGAAAAGTTACTAGTAAAAGCCTTCCGAGTAACTTCTCTTTGCAGCAGAAGTTGGAGTGTTGGGAAATTTTTATTGTTGTTATCACTCTGATGGGGGGATTTTAAAACACTTTCCCGAAAGAGCGATCTAAATCTCCACGTCTTCTCTAGTACCTCCTCTCCCGGGATGCTCTGTGCACTTAGAGAGGGGGCTTACTTACTGTAGGGTGGCATGGCTGTAGAGGCCCCCACTGTACACAGTTTCTGAAGATGCACAGTCCCTGCAGTCACATCTTTGATGACAAGGTCTCTATGAAGAGACACGCATTTCCCCAGTTTGCAGGAGATGAGCAGAGTGGTCGCAATGACTCAATCCCTCTGCCTGGTGAGTGAGTCTTACTAAATTGTGTCAAATTCTTGTGGTGCTGGAACTCCCAGTTCTTACGATAAGTGGGCCAGTGGCCTGTTTACTGGGATTCACACAGATCGCTGGGTGAGCCATGTCTAAACAGTAACCACTCAAGCCATGTCTAAACAATAACCACTCGAGGCTAATTCCTGTCCTTCACAGACTGTTAAATCACTTTTAACATCACTTTTTTTTTTTTAAATGTAAGTTACTTCTGGATTTAGAGCTAAATTTATGTAAATTACTTCAATTTACATTGGAGAGCGTCCTAATAAATTCTTCTTTCAGTCACCCACAAAATGTTAAGTGGGTTTACATCATCAAGCTTCACAACTTCTTTGGAAATCTGGGTTCACTTCGACTCTGTATAGCATTGGAGACTGGAGGAGTTTTAGCTCCCAGAGTAGCAAAAGCTAAATGGTGAGGGTATTTATGCCAGGAGCTCTCAGTTCTTCATTTCTTTTCCAAATTGACTGGTTTAGTGAAAGCATTTCTTTTCTTTGAAAGCATTTTATTTTATGTCACTTACATCCCTTCACTGTTGATTCAAAATTGTTTCCCATAATATGGGTGTAGTAAAAAGATTCCCACCGACCAAACTTCTCTGATAAGTTTGTATTTGGAGTGCTTGACGTTTCTTGCCTGGGTGCTTGATTTTCACCTCCTTGTTAATAGTGGAGAGCAATCAGGCATCTTGGCCTGCTGGGCCAGGGCTGCTGCAGGGGACCTGGGTCCCTCTGGGTAGCCAGGAGGCCTTAGCAGTTTGTGTGCCTTTTACTAGATCGTAATCAGGCCATGGTTCCTGCAAGGCAGGCTTTCCCAGTCTTGGCACAATTGACAGTTTGGATGGGGTGACTCTTTGTCGTGGAGGGCTGTCCTAGGCATTATAGGATGTTAGCAGCATCCCTGGCCTCTACCTAGTAGATGCAGTAGCACCTCTCCAGTTGTGACAGCTGAAAGCATCTCCCTCCATTCTTGCCAAATGTGCCCTGGGAGGCAAAATCTCCCTGGGTTGAGAACCTCTGTAGGACGGACTTTGCTACGGTGGTACGGGAGCTCGTGTCTGCCCTGTGGTTTCTTCTGCCGCAACCACACCAGTCACCAGGTGACCCAACTCTACTTTTAAAGAACCTGGGGCCCAGTCTGGGATGCTCTGTCTGGATTGGAGATGTGATGGACCCAAGACTGTGTGGATTCAAGCTTTTTGCCATTGTTAAGATACTTATACCCTCTCCCTGTCTCTCCCTTCTTGATAGGAGGGTGGTAACTTTGAAGATCTCTTTAGAAGGTGTTTTTTGGTTGAGATTGGCATTCCTTTATACAGTTTTAGATATAAAACCGTGCAGCTTTTTTTTGGTTGTTGATAATTTGGCAAATCAAGTAAAATTGTTCTTCAGGCTTAATTTAAAAAAATGAACTAAATCATAACATCTCTTACTGCTCTCATCTTTTGCTTATGAAAATTAACATTTCCAAAAAGAAAAAAAAAAAAAGACAGTAACCTCTCTAAAGGTCACGACCATGTCTTAAAATCCTAAATTATTGCCAAAAGCCTAACATGCTTTTTGCTCATTGGGAGTTCCTGCTGTGTTCTTGACAATGTGAGTAATCTAAGCGCACTTCAAATTGAAAAACAGGAAAACCAGTCACAGGGGCTCCAGACAGGGGCTTATGCCCCAAGGGACGTAAGTGCCACAACCCTGGCGATTCCCCAGGAAATAAACTGCACATTGGGTTTTTCTGTGGTACTCCTAGCACGTACAGTGTGGTTTGCAGCCTTTGATCTATACCATCTGAAGGTCTTATATTTCACAGCCGTTACGGAACACACAGTACAGTGTTCATGGCTGCCAATTCTGAGGGAGCAAGCCATCAAACTTACACCGATTTTGGAAACACTGCTAAGATACATTTGCCAGATACATGGGTTCAAGCTCTCCCTCATCCCGTGATTCTGTACGTGAGGTTGAGTATTTAGAAGCAGCCTAGAATTATGGTCAGGAAAGGTTCTTTACTTTTTGTCTGATATAATCACCCCAGCATGATCCCAGATGATTCTTGCATTCGTGGGTAAACATCATTTGTCACTCATAATAACAAAGTGGGAAGAGGAGAATGTTGACATACCTATAGATAATACATGCACTGTTCCTGCATGTGTCACAATTAGCTGTGTCTTGCCCAGTCCGATATGAAAGCCTACAAGATAAGAACAGGAGAGCATTACACGTGGTGGCTGCTGGCTGCTGGCTTCTCGAGAGCACACAGCTCCAATCAGATTCTTTCCCAATGCCATTGCTCGTTATGGTGATAGAAATCGATCAGTGTGTTTCCCATTTTGCTCCTATTTAAATTAAATCTAGGATGCGAACATAAACTACTGGATGAAGTAAATAATCTGATTTTGTTATAAGCAAAGGGAATTCGGGATGTTTCAGTGCAGCTTGATCTTTATGGTGTTTAAAAGAAACTTTGATGGGAAACCAACCCCAGATCTTCTGACTTGTTTCTGCCCCACCACCCCTTGGCCTGCGAGAGGAGGGGTCTGCAGACTGGGGCCCTCAGGCGAATCCCACCCTGAGCCAGCAAGCTAAGAGTGAATTTTACATTCATAAATGGTTGACAAAGATTAATAATATTTGGAACACGTGAAAACGAATGAAATGAAATTTCCAGTGCCCATAAATAAAGTTTTAAGTTTTGATGATAAAGAACGGTGAAAATTTTGACGTCAGTAGCTACAATATCCTTGGTCTGCAAATCCCAGGATACTCACTCTCTAGCTCTTGAGAGAAAAAAATTTGCTGACCTGTGTGGTAGAGTGTCGTGCTGCACTGTCAATGCCTTCTGACACCGTCCCTGGCTACATCCTCTGGTGAGTTCTGTCAGCCCTGTGAGACTAGACGTTTTTAGGAGGTAGAGGTAGGGGTGCAGATTCTCTTCCCATTAACAGAAATAACCTTAGAGTATTTTTTGGAGTATATTCTGGGAGGTTGTACAGACTTAAGGGTTTGATGAAAGGATTTTCTTGAATCTTTCTCAGCCCAGTCACCCCAAGAAGCTAGTTTTGGGGAGCTTTCGTAATGTTTTTCCTACCACTTTGACCGGCATTCCCTCTCTGATAATTTTAACGTGCAGGTGTATTTTATTCTGAATATTACTTTGTGCTAAGGGACAAACATGCTAACCAGAATCGGTTAAATCAGTGGCAGAAGAAAAGCTTCCATCTGAATTGGCTTATAACATACTTCGGGGGCAGATTTACGTTTGGAGAGTGACTCAACATGATAATAGTGCTCAGAAGGTTTTCCGTCAACACGGATAGCCGATATTTGATCACCTTCCCTGTGTAAACTTCTCTTGCACGCGTCATGGATTTTGAATTGAAATTAACTTTTGTTTTCCTCATTATATTTGGTGCTGCACAAACATTTGACAAAAGGATTTTCCTCTCCATGCCGTGTTGTCGCAGTGAGCTTTGGTGAACTCGGACTTGACCTTTGAGTTCTGTGCATTTCACTTATTAATCAAGTGGCAATATTCTGTCCTCAGGTGTCGCCAGTCAGTGCCTGTGGCCCATGATATTCGAGCCAGAGTTGGAATCACCCTGTGGCTGCGTTTGTGTTGACCTCTGTCCCCCATATCGGACGCCTTTGGGTGCCCACTTGGGGTCTTTTCCTCTCCCCTGAGCTTCGTCAGGAAGGGAGCAGGGAAGAGCTTGTGCATCACGCCTTCCTCTTTTCCTTATAGCCCTTTCCTCCTGATGACAAGCCCCAAGGGTACATTCCTCCTGAACCTTCCTCCCTGGCTCCAGATTTGTCGAACCCATACCAAGGGTCCTCTGTGTTAGACATTGACCTCCATTCTCCCATGCCTTATTATATATTAAAGGCCTTTCTCCACCCCACTGATTTTACTGGAGCTCTGTCCTAAGCTCACGTCTGACCATGGTCATTTTGTATGGTAAAATAACCATGGTACTTGAGCACAAGTCCTGGCAATGACGTGTTTGCTGCAGGACGTGTCCGTCCTGCTGTTAGGCTGGGCTGCAGACGAGGGACAGCTCCTCTGTGTGTTGCATTGGTGTGTATTAAGCACCAGCCAGGGAAGAGGATATGTAATAGTTTTCTGTATGCCCTAGTCACATTCTAAAGTTTAGGCTTTTAAAAGAAAACAGACGAAATCAAGGGCATTTCCTAACCTTTATTTGAGGGGCACGCTTACTGGGCTCTAAGGAAAATCCGACTTCCATGCTTGCAGAACTTTCCTGCTCGAGACCTCAGGAAGAATCTGCATCCGTTCTCATCGACACCAACACCCCTTCCTTGCCCAGGAGCATGGAGTTCCCAAGTGTCTCACTTACATTAGAGCCTCGAGTTCTCGAATTAATTACGCTGCCTCATTTTACAGAGGAGAATGTAGCAACACTTCAGGTCTGGGATCTCATTATTCTTAGACCCCAGGCTTCTGATGCTCCGTGATGCCCTGTTCGAACCTTGGGACCTGTGTTCTGCACTTTGTATAATTGCCACCTTGGGATAGTCAATGAGTCCAGCACTGACAGGACAAAAGCTTCAGGCACCTAAAACGCACAAGAGAACCTCTTCCAGGACCTTGGGGTTCTTCGGTTATAAACTGCTCTTTTTAAAGCCCTTTCTGAACAGACTATTCTTATCACTTGGTAAAAAGCACGCATTTTTTTCCCCGTTATAATCAGTAAGCAAATAATGATTAAGTGCCATTAGGTGTCAGACATTATTCTGGCTACTGAGGAGACATTTGGGAATAGGATTGTGTCCTTGTCCTCGAAGCTTACAGCAGAGTGGGAGAGCCAGACGGGCAACACATGAACACATGAACGAATGAATGAATGGCTTTGGATACGGCTCGTCGTTAAGGAAATGTTGTACGGGTGGCTTTGGCTAACCGCCCCCCCCCACCCCACCGAGGACCCTGCATTTGGAATGAGACCTGGATGATAATGAAAGAGCAGTTAGTCATCTCCAGATCTAGAGATGAGTTTTGCAAACAAAAGGGCCATCACTCGTGAACATCGTAATGGGAATGATGTTGGCATGTTTGCAGGACAGATAAAAGGGCCGGTGTGGCTAGAATAGCTGGGGCACATGAGAGAGGCGGGAGGTGAGAACAGGTCCTATAAAATAGGAAGCTCTTTGGACATTGCTGTACATTTAATGGGAAGCCACTGTAGAGGTTTATTTATATGTGGATGACAGAATGACATGGAACCTACCTCCTCCTAACCTTTACTCTCACTCCTCCCTTTCTGTCACATTATTTGCATTCAATTTCTTTTTTCTCCCATCTTTTATTTGTAGCCTGACCTAACTCACACAGTCCTGAGATACAGTATAGTTTGGCTGATGTCTGTTGATTAGAATCAAGTGAGTCATAATATCTGCTTTATAGAGACATATTTGTGTGTGGTCCCCGCTTTTTTAGCTAATTTAAATGAAAATTTGGTGGTCCGCCATATTGCCACCGTGTGTGAGAAGTGTTTTCAAGATCTCATTGCCACGAACTATTCTTGGGAAGACCCCTCAGGATGTTTCCATGGTTTTGTTAAGGACCTTTCTTTTTGAAAGGATTCAAATGTTTGGAGTCCAAAAAGGTAGTTCATAAAAACGGATGTCAGTGAGAGATTAATTTGTGGATAAAAGTTAAAGTGTTGTCCTTGTGTCATATGGTTAAGTCACATGCTGCCTCCAGTAGCTGTTGTTAATCAAGCTGTGTCCACTACAATTTTATTAAGCGTGAGGGTGTTCTTAGTAGAGGGCTTAAGCTGTGTAACCCATTGTGCTTATTGCTTTGATAATCCATATAATTGTCCTTGGGGCTTACAAGATGTAGGGTTTGGCTTCGCTGATGATTTTATGGTCACATTAATAATTGTGTTGCAGAATCTGAATAAATGTGTTCTCCAGATACAGACAAAACAGATAAGTCCTTTCTACAGGACAGGGAACACAAAGTGCCATTATGGAACGTCCCTATTTTTTCCTTCTCACTTGGAAACGAGTCATAAAACCCATACTTGGAATGATGATCTTTCTGGATTGCCATTGCCAAAAAGAGAAGCAATCCAAAAACTCTGAACTGCTGGAGCAGATGCTTCTCCAGTGACAGTAGGGCTAGAGGTCTTTTGTGATTAGAAGTTTGGAGAAGAGAGAGCTTAGATTATTGATGTCAAAGCCACAGAGGGAGAACATCTTGATCCAAAATTATAAATTTTCTGTCTTGCACATTAATTGCTACCTTTATAAAACTCTCTTCTCTTTTGTTTTGAGGAACCTATACCTTATATAGGTTTATAATCCCACACCTGTCACGATGCCTGGTACACGCTGGGTGTTTGGTTAATATTAATTTATTAACCAAATAATACAGTCTCTGTGTTCTCATATTGAAGTCCAGTAACAGACAAATCTAATGAAAAAAATTCTGATGCAAAAGCCATATGAAAAGTATAAATTATGAAAAGTTCTGATTCTCACTTTCTAGTGTAAACCTCTTTGGATCCCAGTGATAGGCATGCTCACTGCAAACATGGATTTTTAAATGCACTGATCTTTGCAGCACTTGCTATTTATCATCTCACTACAGTTAGTTGCCATTTGTCAATGTTCTGGACTCAACAGCATATATTACTGTGGTGGGGGGAGGTGGGGCAGTGGAAAGCATAACATTCAGCACCAAGGACAGCGCCAAGAGTCCAAGGTGCCATTTTTTCCTGTTCCATTGACCCTCTTGACTTCCATCCCCCCAGATCACGGTTCTAACCCAGGGACCATTTCTGGGATCCTGACCCTCTCCTTCCTTGATGCCCTTTGGACACTCATTGGTCAGGGTGGGCTTTATTGAAAGGTGAAGGAGACTAGACTTCAGTTATGAAATTAACAGGCATGTAAATAGGATGGACTTTGTGGAAAGCACATGGAGGGATTGTTGTTCCTGATTTGTTAAAGCAGAAGGTTTTGCTCAAGCTAATTTTACAAAAGGTAGTTTTGGTGGAGTCCAGGATGAGAGTCATTTCCACTTCCGCTTTGTAGTGAAACAGATTTCTTCAGAAGACCTTGCTGTACTTTAAAGAAAGGAAAATGAGTGTCCTTTATCGAAGACAGCATGGAACTCTAGTTGGGGCACCCCCATTCAAAGGAAACATCAGATCCTCCTTTCTT